GATTGGAAATCAACTACAGGAAAATAATTGTAAAAAACACAAATACATGGAGGCTAAACAGTGTGCTACTAAATAACCAAGAGATCACTGAAGAAATCAAAGAAGAAATTTAAAAAATACATAGAAACAAATGACAATGAAAACACAACAACCCAAAACCTATGGGATGCAGCAAAAGCAGTTCTAAGAGGGAAGTTTATTGCAATACAATCTCACCTCAAGAAACAAGAAAAATCTCAAATCAACAATCTAAACCTACACTTAAAACAACTAGAGAAAGAGAAGAAGACCCAGTCAGTAGAAGGAAAGAAATCATAAATATCAGAGCAGAAATAAATGAAATAGAAACGAAGAAAATAATAACAAAGATCAATAAAATTAAAAGGTGGTTCTTTGAGAAGATAAACAAAATTGATAAACCCTTAGCCAGACTCATCCAGAAAAAAAGGGAGAGGATGCAAATCAATAAAATTAGAAATGAAAAAGGAGTAATCACAACTGACACTGCAGAAATACAAAGGATTATAAGAGACGACTACAAACAACTATATGACAATAAAATGGACAACCACGAAGAAATGGACAAATTCTTGGAAATGTACAATTTTGAAAGACTGAACCAGGAAGAATTAGAAAATATAAACAGACCTATCCAAGTGATGAAATTGAAACCGTAATTAAAAATTTTCCAAGGAACAAAAGTCCAGGACCAGATGGCTTCACAGGTGAATTCTATCAAACATTTAGAGAAGAGCTAACACCCATCCTTCTCAAACTCTTCCAAAAAATTGCAGAGGGAGAAACATTCCCAAATTCATTCTATGAAGCCACCATCATCCTGATACCAAAACCAGAAAAAGGTATTACAAAAAAAGAAAATTATAGGGGCTTCCCTGGTGGCGCAGTGGTTGAGAGTCCGCCTGCCGATGCAGGGGACACGGGTTCGTGCCCCGGTCCGGGAAGATCCCACATGCCATGGAGTGGCTAGGCCTGTGAGCCATGGCCACTGAGCCTGCGTGTCTGGAGCCTGTGCTTCACAACGGGAGAGGTCACAACAGTGAGAGACCCGCATACCACAAAACAAAAAAAAAGAAAATTATAGACCAATATCACTGATGAACATAGATGCAAAAATCCTGAACAAAATACTAGCAAACAGAATCCAGCAGCACATTAAAAGGATCATACACCATGATCAAGTGGGACTTATCCCAGGGATGCAAGGATTCTCCAATATACACAAATCAATCAATGTGATACACCACATTAACAAATTAAGGAATAAAAACCATATGATCATCTCTATAGATGCAGAAAAAGCTTTTGACAAAATTCAACACTGATTTATGATAATAACTCTCCAGAAAATGGGCATAGAGGGAACCTACCTCAACATAATAAAGGCCATATATGACAAACCCACAGCAAGCATCATACTCAATGTTGAAAAACTGAAAGCATTTACACCAGGATCAGGAACAAGACAAGGATGTCCACTCTCACCAGTCTTATTCAACGTAGTTTTGGAAGTCCTAGCCATGGCAATCAGAGAAGAAAAAGAAATAAAAGGAATACAAATTGGAAAAGAAGAAGTAAACCTGTCACTATTTGCCAATGACATGATACTCTACATAGGAAAAACTAAAGAGGCCACCAGAAAACTACTAGAGCTAATCAATGAATTTTGTAAGGTTGCAGATACAAAATTAATGCACAGAAATCTCTGGCATTCTTATACACCAACAATGAAAAATCAGAAAGAGAAACTAAGGAAACAGTCCCATTTACCACTGCAACAAAAAGAATAAAATACCTAGAAATAAACCTGCCTAAGGAGGCAAAAGACTTGTACTTAGAATACTATAAAACACTGATGGGGGCTTCCCTGGTGGCGCAGTGGTTGAGAGTCCGCCTGCCGATGCAGGGGACACGGGTTTGTGCCTTGGTCCGGGAAGATCCCACATGCCGCAGAGCGGCTGGGCCTGTGAGCCATGGCCGCTGGGCCTGCGCGTCCGGAGCCTGTGCTCCGCAACGGGAGAGGCCACAGCAGTGGGAGGCCCGCGTACTGCAAAAAAAAACAAAACAAACAAACAAAAAAAACACTGATGAAAGAAATCAAAGATGATATAAACAGATAGAGAAATATACCATGTTCTTGGATTGGAAGAATCAATATTGTGAAAATGACTATACTACCCAAAGCAATCTACAGATTCATTGCAATCCCTATCAAACTACCAATGGCATTCTTCACAGAATTAGAACAAAAAATCTTACAATTCGTATGGAAGCACAAAAGAACCTGAATAGCCAAAGCAATCTTGAGAAAGAGAAACGGAGTTGGAGGAATCAGGCTCCCCAACTTCAAACTATACCTCAATGCTACAGTAATCAAGACAGTATGGTACTGGCACAAAAATAAGAATATAGATCAATGGTACAGGATAGAATGCCCAGAGATAAACCCACGCACATATGGGCACCTAATTTACAACAAAGGAGGCAAGAACGTACAATGCAGAAAAGACAGCCTCTTCAATAAGTGATGCTGGAAAAACTGGACAGCTACATGTAAAAGAATGAAATTAGAACACTCCCTAACACCATACACAAAAATAAACTCCAAATGAATTAAAGACTTAAATGTAAGACCAGACACTATAAAACTTTTAGAGGAAAACATAGGAAAAACACTCTGACATAACCACAGCAAGATCTTTCTTGACCCACCTCCTAGAGTAACAGAAATAAAAACAAATGGGACTTAATTAAACTTAAAAGCTTTTGCACAGCAAAGGAAATCATAAACAAGACATAAAAACAACCCTCAGAATGGGAGAAAATATTTGCAAATGAAACAGACAAAGGATTAATCTCCAAAATATACAAACAACTCATGGATCTTAATATCAAAAAACCAAACAGTCCAGTTAAAAAATGGGTGGAAGACCTAAATAGACATTTCACCAAGGAAGACATACAGATGGCCAAGAGGCACATGAAAAGCTGCTCAACATCACTAATCATTAGAGAAATGCAAATCAAAACCACGAGTTATCACATCACACTGCTCAGAATGGCCATCATCAAAAAATCTACAAACAGTACATGTTGGAGAGGGTGTGGAGAAAAGGGAACCCTCCTGCACTGTTGGTGGGATTGTAAATTGATACAGCCACTATGGAGAACAGTATGGAGGTTCCTTAAAAAACTGAAAATAGAACTACCATATGACCCAGCAATCCCACTACTGGGCATATACCCTGAGAAAACCATAAAGAGACATGCACCACAATGTTCACTGCAGCACTATTTACAATAACCAGGACATGGAACCAACCTAAATGTCCACTGACAGATGAATGGATAAAGAAGATGTGTCACATTTATACAATGGAATATTACTCAGCCATAAAAAGAAACGAAACTGAGTTATTTGTAGTGAAGTGGATGGACCTAGAGTCTGTCATACAGAGTGAAGTTAAGTCAGAAAGTGAAAAACAAATACCGTATGCTAACACATATATATGGAATCTAAAAAAAAAAAAAAGGTACTGATGAACCTAGTTTCAGGGCAGGAAAAAAGAGGAAGACATAGAGAATGGACTTGATGACATGGGGTGGGAGGGCGAAGCTGGGGCGAAGTGAGAGTAGCATCGACATATATACACTACCGAATGTAAAATAGTGGGCTGGTGGGAAGCAGCAGCATAGCACAGGGAGATCAGCTCGGTGCTTTGCGATGACCTAGAGGGGTGGGATAGGGAGGGTGGGAGGGAGGCTCAAGAGGGAGAGGACATATGTATGCACATGGCTGATTCACTTTGTTGTGCAACAGAAACTAACATGGTATTGTGAAGCAATTATACTCCAGTAAAGTTCTATTAAAAACAAAAAAAGAGCAGAGTCTGGTCCCCCAGCTCCCCGGAGCCCAGCATGGGACCTGGCACGGAGCAAGCGCTCCACCCGTGCTCGTGAAATTGACAAGATGCTAGCTCACGTTATGCTCTCAACCTGAGTGTCATCAATCAAAACACCATCTCCCAGGTCACGGCCTCACTTTGGGGAGAAATGTCAGCCCTCTTAACATCAGCCAACGTAATGGCCACTACTCATCAATCTCTTTGTACATTTAACTTTTTGCTTCTTCTCAACAGCCCTATTTTAAGAAGACGAACTGAGGTTTAGTGAGTAAAGGCAGCTAGAGAGTAGATGAGGTAGAACGTGAGGTCAGGTCTCTGTGTCTTAACTCTGTCCTAACTCCCAGAGGTGGGCAAATCCTTTATGGAGCTTCCCTCCCTCAGAACAGTGAATCCTCAGAGAACAGAGTAAGTCCTTAGAGAATACGATCTAATGAGAAAAGCAGCCTATTGGATGTGCGCTCATTAGGGCCCCTTTTCACATGTCCGCACTCAGTGTACAGGAAAGGGATAAAGCCAAGGAATCAGGTATAGATCCATCTCCTTTAATCCTCACAGCATCTGTCTGGACGTAGTATTTTCCAGAGAGAGACACTGAATCACACAGGTGTTAAAAGTGTGCAAAGTCCCCCGGCTAGAATTACAAAGTCTAGGGCTTCCTGACTGCAGAGCAGGAAAGCTTTCCTCCCCACCAAGACCCCTCAGCAAACAATGCACCAGAAGCCTCATGCAAGTTGTCTGAGCTGTTTGTTCATCCCACTGAGCTTGGCATTGTGCCCATCACTCCAGCAGGTGCTCTGGGTGCCAGATCCCATTCTTCCTCACCCCTCTTTTCCTCCCTCCCTTCCTTCAACTGTTACTTGCCCTCTTGGCTTCACGACAACAGATCACATTGGATCAGTAGACCTTCCCAATGTCTGGCCTGCCTTGTGCCCATGCTTTTGAGTCTGAAACACTGAAACACCTACACACCCAGAGACACAAGTATTTGCAATGTGCCCCTGTTTTTTTCTTCCCTCGGGGTCTGCTGTGGCTCGGCTGTGGGCTGCGGGGAGAAAGCAAGTGGGCTCTCCTGGTTACCTTCGTGGTCTGGCAGTGGGAAAGGAATGTGACCTTGGCAAAAGGGTCTGAAAGTCCGTTGCTGTCGGCTGCGATGAGGCCCCGGGCTTGGTACATGTGAGCTCTCAGCTGGAAGACATGCCGGTCTGTGGACAAATAATGGGAAGGGGTGGCATTAGCAGGCTTCTGAGGAACAGTGAGTGCGAGTGGGTGTCTATGTGTGATGCTTACCTGTGGGTGTTTCTGGAGACAGACAAAGGAGACCACGGGCACTGAAGGTCTTTTAGACCAAAATGGACACAGGGAAGATGGGGGAAGAGGTCATGTTCATGGGTACTTTGGAGCCAGGCATTCTCCTTGGTGCATTCACCACATTGTGGGATTTAATTTTCATAACAAAACAACCCCGTGAAATATATATCATTATCTTCATTTTATAGATGAGGGAAATGGTTCATAAAAAGGCTAAAATACATTTCCAAGTTTTCAGAGCTAACTAATTCCAGAGCCTGGATTTCATTTCCGTCGGATTCCAAAATCCAAATCTATTCCTAAAATACCACATTTTTAAAATCTGTATGCAAAACGGCAACAGACTCACAGACATAGAAAACAAACTTGTGGCTACCAAAGGGGAGAGGGGTGGGGGGAGGGATAAATTAGGGGTATGTGATGAACGGATACAGACTACTATGTATGAAATAGATAAGCAACAGGATATATTGTAGAGCACAAGGAATTATAGCCATTATTTTGTAATAACTTATAATGGAGTATAATCTGCAAAAATACTGAATCACTCTGCTGTACACCTGAAAATGATATCATATTGTAAGTCAATGAAACTTCAATAAAAAATTTAAAAATACCACATTTCACCTCTTAGTAAAACGTCCTGTTTCCAATGGTGTGTGTGTATAAGAAAGGGGGACATTTCTTCATTTTTGCTTCCATAAACTCAGTAAAGTCTTGAGTCATCCATCCATCCATTCTGCCATTCAGCCAGCCAATGTCATTTTGAGCACCTACAGTATACCAGGCACAGTTCTGGCCTCTGAGGATTCTGAAGCAGCTAAGACAGCCCCTGACCTTGGGGAGCTCCAGGGATGGGGCAGAAGATAAGCAAGTGCCCCAATCCCAGTGACAGGAGCCAGAGCTAAGTGTCCTGCAGGAGATACAGGCAGAGGGCATGGGACGTTAAAGGCAGGAGTGAGCACACCTGGTTGACGGGATGGGAGGCAGAGAGAGGGCTGCAGGTGGGGCAGACCAGGGTTCAGTGGGGGAACCCCAACGAAGAGTTGAGTTAATCATATGCCTTGTTTCATGGACTTTATGATCCTTGGCCCTTGCCTGACCCCTCTTGCTTTTTATATTCATTTGTTCCCTTCTACCCTCTTTTAAAAAAAATTATTTCTTTCACGGATCATGCCTTTGGTGTTGTATCTAAAAAATCATTGCCATACTTAAAATCATCTTGGTTTTCTCCTATATTATCTTCTAGGAGTCTTATAGTTTTGCATTTTGTATTTAGGTTTATGATCCATTTTGAGTTAACTTTTGCAAATGTCGTAAGTTCGATGTCTAGATTTATATTTTTGCATGTGGGTGTCCAGTTGTTCCAGCACCATTTGTTGAAAAGACTATGCTTGCTCCATTGTATTGCCTTTGCTTGTTTGTCAAAGATCAACTGAATATATTTATGTAGGTTTATTTCTGGGCTCTCTATTGTGTTCCACTGACCTATTTGTCTATTCTTTTGCTAATACTGCACTGTCTTGATGACTGTAGCTTTAGTAAGTCTTGGTGTCGGGTAGTGTCAGTCTTCCAACTTCGTTCTTCTTAATATTGTGTTGACGCTTCCGGGTTTCTGCCTCTCCACATGAACTTTAGAATCAGTTTGTTGATATCCACAAAACAACTTGCTGGGATTTTAATTGAGATTGCATTGAATCAAGAAAAACACTAAGCAACAGAACTATCTATTTAAAATTGGAACAAGCAGATAAAAGCTTGGATAAGTTACAGAGGTAACTCCTTGTCTTTCACAATGAGTAGTTATGTGTTAAATGTAAAATCAAGAAATAGTGATGTAGGGCTTCCCTGGTGGTGCAGTGGTTGAGGGTCCGCCTGCCGATGCAGGGGACACGGGTTCGTGCCCCGGTCCGGGAAGATCCCACATGCCGCGGAGCAGCTGGGCCCGTGAGCCATGGCCGCTGAGCCTGCGCGTCTGGAGCCTGTGCTCCACAAATGGGAGAGACCACAACAGTGAGAGGCCCGCGTACCGCAAAAAAAAAAAAAAGAGGCAAATAAGTTGATCCTAAAATAATATGCAAACAGCTCATGAATGCCACCCCTCAGAAGCCCACCAGAGACATCTTATGACCCTCTTGGCCCAGTGGGCATCATACCTTGGTAGAGCAGGTTAGCTGGGGGTTTACTGATGCCAGCCCCTTTGGAGGACATTTCTGCTTCATAGCCTGCTGGTAAGTTGTTCAAAATGGCACTAGAGTGTCTGGTGGAGCCCAGCCACATGTACACGTCAATTTTCGCTTGCATCGACCAACCAGCCGGCTGTTTTCCAGGAAGCTGGGGAAAGGTTACAAGGAAGAGACCCCCCTCATTAGTAGGAGCCATTGTGGGCCTCACTCTCTGAGAAAAGAGGTCCTTCCCTGGGGCTCCTATTAAAATGAGACCAATGACCCCAGTTGCCACGATGCACAGTTTTAGAGGAGGATCCAGGTTTAATGGGGCCTGAAGCTCAAACAGGCCCTGTGTGATCATTTAAACCTAACAGGTAGGTATGGTTATTACCCCTGTTTTATAGATGAGAAAACTCAGGCTCAGAGAGGCTAAATAAGTTCCTAGATCACTCAGCTTTTAAGTGACGGAGCCAGGGGAGATGATACCAGATCTGGGCTCTGGACTCTGAATGCCCACAGCCTGCTTCTCCCCACACTGAGCTGAAATCCCCCTTCCCAGAACTTCCAATTGCCTTGAGTTCCAACCACAGCCTCTGCCTCTTTGCTTTGCTCAGAAGAACTCGAATTCTTCTTCCATAGGTCAGGCCCCCGTGGGCTTGAAGGCATCTACCTGCCCTACCACGTTGTTTCTTCCTGCTAGACACCTCTCATCCCTTCACCCCTCCCTCACGCAGTGTGGTTTCAAATTCCCTTGCTAGCCTGCTTTCCCTCCTTTGAATGTACTCGGATTTGTATTTATATTTGTTTGAATTTGTGTTTATGTGTGTAGTCGTGTGTGTGTGTGGTGTGTGGGTGCATGCGTTCTCAACATGTGAAGGACACAACTCAGTGCAGAGCGGCTCCTTTATTTCTCCATCACCAGGATTAGGGGACTCCGCACCCCCATCTAAGGAACCTCAGGCCCCAGACTTGGCTGGGTGCAGGATTTCTGGCAAGGCTTTCGCTCAGAAAGTGGCCACCTCTCCAGATTTTGTTGACTCTTCTAAGTGCCTCTTCTTAGTGTTTCCTAGGATTTCCCATCAATGCACAATTCCCCTTTCTTCTGCACCACTTCCTTTCCATGGAGAATCACAAAATCCCACGGGGAGAGGCGACCACTTGCTCTGACAATTTCCCAGGCACCCGTGGAAAGCTCCAGAACCCCAAACTGTGCCTGGTTGTTGGCCTGCCTTCCTGTCTTGCTCTGTGAGTTCCCCAAGAGGATTGTGAACAACTCAGTTCAGCAACTACTACCAAGTGCCACCAGACCTTGCTGAGGGAGTGGGGCCAGAAGGGCCTCACAATGACTGCGACACAGTCCTGGGCTTCCCCTCCAAGAGCTCACGTCTAGACAGGGAGGCCGACTCGCATTCACTTACTCAAATGCAAAGTCAAGTGTAAGAGAGAAGATGCCATAGGACCAGAGGGGAAGAAGCAGGTATATCCTTTCTTTAATACTCACATATTCCAGTAGGCTTTAATAAGTACTTTGGAGTTGGACTCGTAGAGAAGGCATCCCAGGAAGAGGGAAGTGCCTGAACAGAGATACAGCGGCAGGAGCTAACTGTGGTGATAAGGGCTGACGTTTAGTGAGTGCTTACTTGGTGCCAGGGACAGATTTGCTAAGAGCTTTCAGCAAAGAAAAAGCTGGAACAGAGAATGACACAGATGAGGCTACAGAATCCTGCTGCATATACGGAGGAGTTTAGATTTTATTCTTTACGGAATAGGATGCCATTATTTATTCAGCTCTAAAAAAACAACTAAGGGGGCTTCCCTGCTGGCTCAGTGGTTAAGAATCCGCCTGCCAATGCAGGGGACACGGGTTCGAGCCCTGGTCCAGGAAGATCCCACATGCTGCGGAGCACCGAAGCCGGTGAGCCACAACTACTGAGCCCACGTGCCACAACTACTGAAGCCCGCACGCCTAGAGCCTGTGCACCACAAGAGAAGCCACCGCAATGATAAGCCCACGCACCTCAACGAAGAGTAGCCCCAGCTTGCCACAACTAGGGAAAGCCCACGCGCAGCAACGAAGACCCGATGCAGCCAAAAAAAAAAAAAAAGTGATACTTCCAAAAAATTAAAAAAAACAAAACAACTAAGGTCATTTTGCTGTTAGTAAAGACAACCATCTGCAACTCATCATTTTAAAAATTATAATAAGACAAAACACCCTCAATTCATCACTTCTACAATAATAATGATAATAGCTAAAATGCATTGAGCACTTGTTCAATCAAACAAATAGCTATTGAGAGCCTAAGGTTATTTTGTTGTAATAAAAGCAATCCGTCTGCCATCTGTATACATCCCTAGGACATCAATTCACAAAGGCAGGATTTTTGACTGTCATATCACAGTGATGTCCCCAGTGCCTAAAATAGTACTTGGCACTCAGGAAGCACTTGGAAAATATTTGTTGAATTATTTATTTCTTTTTCTAATAATAATATTTTTACATGTGCTGAGCACTTACGTTGTCCCAAGCCCTGGTCTAATGTTCCTCCCTACACACAGAACGCCCTATTACTTGCATACTATTAACAAGCAATAGGCTATCATTCATCTTCATGACGACTGTAAAATAAATTCTTTCATTATATGTATTTTAAAGATAAAAAAGTGGAGGTTCAGAGAGGTTAAGACAATTGTCCAATGTCACAGAGCAAGGCAGGGATAGAGCCAAGACTCAACCCTGCTCTACCTGGCTCCAGAGCCCATCCTCTTGGCCCAAGCTCCTCATACACTGGTACGTGTACCGGTGCATGTGAACTGCTGGGGCATCTGGTTAAAATATAAATTCTGACTCAGCAGGTGTGTGGGGTAGGATTTGAGATTTCTCCCTGTTGGTGCTTATCCTGCTGGTCTATGGACCACAATTTTAAGTGTTTGAGTAGCAAGACTCCTAACTATGCTGTGTTGCCCCCAAGCAGGTCCGATATCCTTTGCTTCTTAAAGTAAAACAAAAACACAAAACATCCTTCATCTCTACTGCTGTGAAAACAACCTGTATATGTGAATTCATGGCTAGAAACCAAAACTCAGCTAACATCTTGTGAAAATGTTATACAAGGACCATGGCTGCATGCCTAAAGTTTGCCATTTATACATCTTTTTAAAAATACACACCTTGAACTTGTTTGCAAGACAATGCAGTCTCTCACTTAGGAATCCAAGTTGGAACTCACGCACCATCACTGAGCACCTTCCTAGGTGCTCGCAGAAACAACAACCCACGTTTCACTTCACGTGCATTTCCAGCCTCAGCTGTCTTCCCTGCCTTCCCCTCCCCCACTCTCCGTTCTCTCATGTGCTCCTGAAGCCTGACCAACCAGAGCAACTTCTTTCCTTTTAAGAATAGCATGGTAAGGCAGGGAGTGAAAGAGAAAAACAACAACAACAAAGAAAATTAAAGAATGCAAAATTGCATCAAAAAACTATGATCACCAATGTGTAAAAATTGCACGAGACAGAATGCTAAAGTCTTAGCCTCTCCTGTAACCCACCCACCTCCCCTCCGGGGTCCTGGTGAAATGCCAGCTGTCTTACAAAAGAAGGGAAATCTTGGCCAGTCAGAAAAAGGAGAGAAAGATGGTCATTCACACAAACTGTGAAGTTGGTCCATCAATATTAGTGTGAGAAAGATGTGTTTGCCTTGTAGAGACTTCACTTTGAGGCAGGACCTGGAAGGGTGTCTGCAGCTACCACTTTCTGCTGCATCCTAGGGAAAGCTGGATGGAAACCTGGAGGCCTGAGAGGAAGAGTCTGGACTCAGGGCTGTGGAGCAGAAGCCAGGATAGAGGTGGAAACGGACCATGAAAACCTGATTGCCGTTCCAGATTTACTATTACCTAGCCATGTGACTTCAGGTGAGGCAGTTTTGTTTCCTTTAGATTAATTAATATTCCCTCAACCTGGGCCCCCTAGGCACAGCAGTTTCCTAAAATTTGTAAATAGCTATTCTAGATGAATAAGGTTGACAAGCATGGGTCGTAAAAGATGATTCCTGACTGCAGGACGTTGACTTTTCTACTGGTTGACGGGCACTGTGAAACTCCAAGAGGGGGACACAATGCCAACCTCTAAATGTGTTTGAACACGGGATGTTTATGGCGCCACTCAAAGGACAGCTGTTCTGTGGAACAAACTTTTGAGGCGACTCCGCAAAAAATCTAGAGATCTGAGAGATTTACATTCTGTGCTTTGTCTCACTGCACTTTCTAATTCCCAGTTAAGAAACCGGAGTGAGCAGCAGGTGGGTGAATCCTTTGTCTCCCTGGAGCAGCTCTTGCTTTTTTCAGATTTACCAATTCAGTGAAGAGAAACAGGGCCTAAAGGGAGGTGGCGGGAGGGAGTTAAAAGCAGGGGTAACAAACATACGGTAGATAGCTAGTGGGAAGCAGCCGCATAGCACAGGGAGATCAGCTCGGTGCTTTATGACCGCCTGGAGGGGTGGGATAGGGAGAATGGGAGGGAGGGAGCCGCAAGAGGGAAGAGATACGGGGAAAAAAAAAAGAAAAGAAAAAAAAAAGCAGGGGTAACAATCAGAACTGGAATGAAAATAGTTTTCATCTTATCAAGATGTTTCATCATGTCAGGACAATCGAACAACACGTTCAACATTTACAAAGCTATCACCCAAAGCAATCCCAATACAAAAAGAAAATGCAGATAAAGAAGTAAGCCAAGGCCACAGGGCAAAGGTCCTGAATTCCCAGTTAGGTCTATTCTCTGGCTTTAGTTGACAGTTGTTCTCTGTTCTAATTTTAAATAATTCTGGGATACATCAAAATATTTAGGAAGGAATAACTTTATGCTGGTTTTCTCTTATTTTTAGCACAGGGCTTTCTGAAATGATTTGCTATTTTTAGGACAGGTGTTTCAACCCCAGAATCCCTTGGAATGAGAAAGCTGAAGAAATATTTGTGGTGAATAACTAAGGTGAGTTTTTCTTTTTCAGTTACAGTCTTACAGAGGTGGGTTTAAAAATCCTTTTGTACACGACAGAAAATATTGGGTTGGCCAAAAAGTTCATTCGGATTTTTCCATAACATCTAACATACAGAACCACAAACACTTCCCTGGATGTGAAGGGGGCACACAATGCCAGAAATGTCCCCTAGATGTTGGATTTCCATTTGTTTGAATGCCAACATTTATTGCGTGATGACCCTGGGGGACGTACACTCTGTGTTCTTTTTTTTTTTTTTTTACTCTGTGTTCTTTTATGTGCAGTTATCCACTTAATCCTCAACATCACATCCCCATTTGAAGGATGAAGAACAGGAGACACAGAGATGTTAAGTAACATTCCCCAAATCATACAGCTCCTAAATATTAGCCCTGGAATTCACTAAGAGGTAAAATTGTATTCCCCTCAAATGCATATGTTGAGGTCCCAACCTCTAGTACCTTAGAATATGAGCTTATTTGGAAATAGGGTCATTACAGACAGAGTTAACATGAGCTCAATCTGGAATAGGATTCTTATAAAAAGGACATCATAGGAAAAGAGACATGCACACAGGGAGAACATGATATTAAGATTGAAGTTATGCTCCCACAAGCCAAGGAGCTACCAGAGCTAGAAGAGATGCTTCCCTAATAGCACCTTCAGAGGGAGCACGGCCCTGCCACTCCCTTTGTGTCAGCGACTTCTCTGGCCCCTTTCTCTCGAACCAGTGAACCTCGCCCAGGAGCGCTCCCTAATAAAGCTCACTTGAAACTTTCCTGTTTCGCGGTGCCGTTTGTTAAGATCCGACCTTACACTCTCCTCTTATAATTTTCTTTGAAGCCTATTTTTAAAATATAGATGAACTCGTGTAAAATGATGCCATAGATAAATTACTCAAGAGAAAAGTAGAGAGGAAACTAACAGAAAAATGTTCATTCTTCTTAGTAATCAAAGAAGTAAAAATTAAAATAACCTTAAGATACCTACACTAGATTTTTTAAAAAAACACCTTATATGTCTCTGGTGACATAGTTATTGGAAAACTGGAAAATATCCAGCCCCAGGATGGTCTCCTAAAACACAACCTGAATCAAGAGGGGGCAAGGTGTTCTAGTTGTCCTCAGACTTTTGAAAGTCTTAGCGTCAAGTCAGAGATCTGGACACACACTAGTAATGCCGTGCAACCCAGGAAAAACAGAGATTCCCATCCTTGAGTCAAACATAGTACAGACTTACTTTGAGGAAGTGAGTTTTGATCTTCCCGCAGTGTTGACCCATCTGCTTCCTGATGGGGGAATAGAGCAAGTCCTTGGCGGCGATGCGGGCATATGCCACCCTCTTGCTGTTGCTCAGCATCCAGATGAAGATGTCAGGGACGGTGTGCTGTGGCTGTGGAGGCAAAGGGGATGGATTTGATAGGTGGGTGTTTACACGGCACCTCCAGGGTTCTCCTATCCTGCACCAGCACCCCTTCTGCACAACAAATTCTGTGACTTAAACTTTCTGGGTACTGAAACACCTGTGCAACCAAGCAAGTTAAGCGTGGCTTCTCTGAGAAAGTCTTAGGTCACGGAAGCCCCATATGCCAAACTGCTTATCATGCTTTGACAATATGCAAGTCGGACCTGTGACTTGGCATCTTTGGTGGCCTATTTTTCTCCATCTGCAGAACAAACGTTTGCTCCACCTTCCCATGGATTTTTTCTTTGCAATCTTGTAATCATGATTTGGCTTCCAGCATTGGACCTCCTAAGAGCCAGGTAACATTTCCAGAACATTCAAATGAAACACCAAAAACAAAAATCCATGAATGTCTTTGGATGTCTTTCCATCCCCTCTTAAGGAAGGAAAAACAATTTTACAAGGGCTTTTATACGTAAATTGTAATTGCTAAGTATTTTCGCTCCATTATAGGTGTTTATTCAGGAGAAACTGCACTCAATTGCACAGAAAATTAGACTTTGAAGTTGAGCTAATCAAGACAAGAATTGCAGAATTCCCTGCCAAGAGGCCCATTATGTTGTGAGTGTTTGAAATGCACATTGCTGAGCCAGTATAGCTTCCAAAACAAAAGGGAAGCATATTGTCATAAACTAGGCTTTGACATTCTCGGACTGGAAGCAGATACTTTTTCTAACGCGGTAATCCTCTAGTGTAATTGGTACCTAAGAAGGCATCCCTTCTCTCTTGACATGGAAACAGAGACATCCTTGTGGAGGTTTTCTCGCCACATGGTCAGTCAGTCACTGACCTGGTTTGAACCTTCTGGGAGCTTATTAAAATTCCTGCATTCCAAAGTGACTATCTCACGGCTTGTTATGCCTCCAGGGAATGATGAATTTGCAACAGGAAAAAAATCTTTCAAGAACAACAGAAGCAGTAAATCTGTACCTCACCCTGAAAACTTCCGCCACAAAACCTAGTATTTAACAGAAGCAAATACGAGGACTTTTTTTAGATCATTCTAGTAGTCAGAAGATATTGCCTACAATTAACTTTAAAATGAGAAGCTGTTTTAACTTTTACTGGATATGAGTTTCAATTTCCTTGCAGTTAAAAACCTATCAAAGATCACATGTTTATTTTGACTTTTCTTGAGCCTATTAAGGAATGTGCTTTATTATTATTATTATTATTATTATTATTATTATTATTATTATTATTTAGGAATGTGCTTTTTATTTCGGCTGAATACTCAGACTTCGTGAATAAATCAATAAAGCCGTACATGTTTGGCTTAATTTAAAACCCCTCCTTCACCCTTCAAACGAATGGTACCTGCTCAGCTCAGCAGGGCTTGAGAGAAAACACTGCCCATCTTTCATTCTTATCAAACATTCAAGCCCCACTGGGAAGATATTCGGTCTCATCTTCCAAATGACCTTTGCCCTTATAGTTGATTACCTCATCCACAAGAAAGCGGATTTTTTCCACAAAGTTTTGGGCCGCCTGGATCATTTCATCAAGAGATAACTTTTTCTTCTGCTGCTGAGTGAGCTCCTTGGCCTCCTTGGCTATGGCCTCCTAAAACAAAACAAGAGTCGGTGTAGATCTTTCTAGAAATCTGGTTAGCGAGCACAGTCCTGTTGCTGGAGATTCCTGAAAGTGCTTGTAAGTTCCACGCTGAGACACTCATGAGGGCCGTTTCAGGCTCTGCTATGGGGCACGCTGCCCATTAACAGCAATTTGGTAGGACTATGGGGACAGTGAATATTATCTCACCTTCATTTGACAGACGAGAAGCTGAGGCCCAGAGAAGCCAGAGGTTTGTCACAGTCCCATAGCTCTTTAGTCAAGACCTGAATTTAGGCTTCCTGATACTGACAACAACAACAATAATAATAGCAGCTGAAATAGATTGAGCTCTTACTCTGCACGGGGCAATGTCACATCTGCTGTGTTAACCCTTAGGACTCCTCGCAGCGACCTTACGGGGTAGGTACTATCATTCCCATTTTACAGCAGAGGAAATAGTCATGCAGCTACAGAGAGGCAGAGCTGGACTTGACCCCCTGCTGAGTCCAGAGCACCACCTCTGCTCTCACCACCTCTCCCGGGAGGCACAGTAGATGCTTCCAGACCAAGTTGGCATCATTGGAGAGAGGCACCAGGGAGCTCTGTGTGCGTGGTTGGAACATCTAAAAGTGTTTATTTTGATTCATTCATTCAGCCTGCATTCATGTTCTTAGGGAAAAAAAACCCCAAAACACTTTGCAGTGATTTCTAAGGCCCTGCATGAGTGGGTCCTGCCCACTGGCTGCCTCATCTTGTAGTGCTTCACTCACTGGTCCTCAGGAGGTCCTAAAACACGCCCGGCTCCCTCCTCAAGACTGGGATGCTTAAGGTTCCTCTTGGCCACATGTTCTCCCTAGACTCTGCATGGCTGGTTTCTCCTCAGGCCTCCACTGCCATGATACCACTGTCATACATTCTCCCACATTTTCCCAATCACCATGGCCTTTTAAAATGCCCTTCATAAAAAAAAAAAAAAAAAAAAAAATGCCCTTCATAATCATAACCTGTAATCGTTTTTATTTACTTTTTGTTATCTATCTTCTGCCTTCCCCACTCAAATGTTAATTTTGCAAGGATAGGGGGCCCCTCGGTCTTGTTCTTACCTTGAATACTGAGAGTCTGGTGGAGTTCCTGGCACACAGCAGGTGTTAAATAAATGTTTGTGAAATGAATAGACCAGTCAATAAATTCCTCAAGAACAAGCACCAAATACTGACAGCCTTGTGTTTCCAGCACCCAGCACAGGGCCTGGCACCTCTGATTAGAGGACCTGAATACCTGCTGTGCACCAGGAACCAAGGCCTGGGACAAGAGGAGGACTCAAGCTTCCTTTCCTTAAGACTTTGACAGTTGGTGAGGTGAAAGCAATATATGCAAATAACTAAAATGTGTAATGCATCATGGGACCAGAGGGGCCAAAGCCAGGTTTTATGGATAATATGATATTTGTGCTGAGCAAAAAATGCATTGAATTCATCAGATGATAAGAAGAAAAAGTACAGTCCAGTTGGAAGGAACAATTACATATGAAAGCACGTAATCAGTGAGGGTTCAGAATCCTTGGCACATAGATACATGGGAAGGGAGCAACGAGAGACAAGGCTGGGAGACTAGGCTGGGACAAGACGGTGAACAGCCCTGTATATCATGCACAGAGGAATTTGGCCTTTATCTTATGAACAACTGGGAGACTCCAGTTTTTGGTTTTTGTTTTTAATAAATTTATTTATTTATTTATTTATTTATGACTGTGTTGGGTCTTCGTTGCTGCGTGCAGGCTTTCTCTAGTTGTGGCGAGCGGGAGCTACTCTTCGTTGCGGTTCATGGGCTTCTCACTGCAGAGCACGGGCTCTAGGCGCGCGGGCTTCAGTAGTTGTGGCTCGCGGGCTCTAGAGCACAGGCCCAATAGTTGTGGCGCACGGGCTTAGTTGCTCCGCGGCATGTGGGATCTTCCCTGACCAGGGCTCAAACCCGTGTCTCCTGCATTGGCAGGCGGATTCTTAACCACTGAGCCACCAGGGAAGCCCTCCAGTGGTTTTTTTAATCAAGAGAGATCTAAGCAGATTTGTGTTTTGGAGACCATTCTTGCTGTGGTATGGAAGGTGGACTGGGGCAAGATGACTGTGATAGCCCTGGCCAGAGACGCTAAAGCACTCGGGTTAGGCAGTGGTCCTGGGGATGAAGAATGGAGTGAGTGCCAGAGTCTTTAAGGGCCGGGGTCTCAACCTGGCCTGGGGTCAAAATGACCATTTAGTGTGAGGTATAGCAGGGGTCCCCAACCCCCGGGCTGTGGACCAGTAGTGGTCCGCGGCCTTTTAGGAAGCGGGCCACACAGCAGGAGGTGGGCGGCGGGCGAACGAGTGAAGCTGCATCTGCCTTTCCCCGTCGCTCCCATTACCGCCTGAACCACTCCCACTGCCCCCCGTCCCGCCCCTGTCCGTGGAAAAATCGTCTCCACGAAAGTGGTCCCTGGTGCCACAAAGGTTGGGGACCGCTGAGGTACAGGATTCAAAGTTGATTCTTAAGCTTCTCATTGGAGTAACAAGTGAGGCTTGTGGTACCAATACAGGACAGGGAACAAGCTTTGGTGGGCAGATGAGGGGCTGAGTGGGTTACATTGAGTCAGAGGTGCTATGAGGCAAGAAGTGGACGTGTCCACCCAGAGGCTGGAAATGCGGAGAGAGAGCTGGGCCACTGCAAAGCACTGAAGTCTTGGGCTTGTTCAGGACAAGGACTGCTGGACACAGGAAACGAGAGAGCCGTGCGGGCTATCTGTGGAGGACGGGCACTGCAGAGACAGTCAGAGGTGCTGAGGAAGACATTCAGTAGGAAGCAGATCTTACATACGGTAGGAATCTGGCCTCCTTGGAGTAGAGGAGGCCACAAAACTTCATTTATTGTTCTGGAAAGCAGGATGAGTCAAGTGTTCAGAGACTCGGGCTTTAGTCTCTGGAGTATGATTAACCAGCTGTGACCCTTAAATAAAATCATTTAACCTCTGTGGGCCTCATTCACAACTTTAAAAATGTCCCTGGCCAAACACTGAGTAATTTTAGTTTGCAGAATTATCATGGCCTCATACAAGACGTCCCTTGGTGCCATTGCTGGAACTGAAGTTTCAAGGAGAGATAATCAGGGTCTGACTTGGTCTGGCGTTTCTCAGTCGTCACTCATTCAATAGGGACCGAACATCTCTAAGGCACTCAGCACTGTGCAGGGTCTCCAGGGCACAGAGAGGTACCAGCCACTGCCCTGCCCTCGGGTAGTGCTCACAGCTTTTCACACAATTCATAATGGGAGGACACCAAGCAGAGGTAGTTATGTCTTTTTCTCTCTCAGCTTAGGAGGCAGAAGGTTAAGTGAAAGAGTCCACAGCCTTTGACAAAACACAAACGTCAAGAAAATGAACAAGTCCTACATCAGGATAGAATAGAGGGCTGGTGGGCTTCTAGCTCATTCTTGTAAACATTCAGTAAATGCTAGTTCCTCTCCAACTCACTCATCTATTTATTCCCTTCTCATTCTTCTATATCACACAACTGTATAACTTTTAGAACTTTATCCTCATGTGCTCTATGACCTATGCTTCATCCATGAGGTTTATTTTTAAAGCACACGTTTTAGTCCTTTGCAAAAGTATAAATAGATTTTCACATACCAGCTCCTGCCAACAGAGCGTAAGTCGTTTCTTATCTAAATTGGTTTGGTTCAACATCTTGGGTTTCTTTTCCACTTCAGAGATAAAGGCACTATAAGAGAATAACAATTTTGAAACCTACTTAGTGAAAATTCATTTATGTAATTCCAGAGATTTGCAAGTATACTTTCTGCAATACGATGGGAAAGTTCATGAAGCCACAGAACCAAGATTTTTCATTTTGGATTAAGCAGTAAGGCACTAACTTTTCTATGAGACAAAATGAGAATGGGAAATAGTGCCAAGCCTCACATTAGTTTTGGGGATGTTTGTTTTTCTACTTTCTTTCAGTATATACCTATTGTGATTCCTATCCAAGTTCACAACAGCAAACACAAAATAATGCAGTTTTCCTTTATCTTACAAATTTAACACACACCAAAATGTTCCTGAAAGTTGTATGTAGAGCAAATATTTTAGACTCAAAACTGGGCTATGTCTTCACATTTTTAAAACCATACAAAGGACTGAATAGTAACGTTTTGAGGGATGAAGGAAAATGGTAATGGTTATGAATGCAATTGAAGCAGAAACAGAAATGACTTTAAATTTGGGGAAATAAGATATTCCCTCATCAGCAATAACTTAAAATCGATACCATTTTCACTTACTGAAAACCAGGTACTTTCCGAGGTTGATAATATTCAAAGGGAAATAGTCACTCTCCTCTTATGATAGGAGAGTGTTAATTATTATAATGTTTAAGAGGTTATTTGACAGCATCTATCAAAATTTAAATGTCCATATAATTTGATCCAAAAATTATACTAGAATTCTATCCTTCAAAAGTAACTGAAAATTCTTGCAAAAATATGTTTACAGAGTAATGTTTATTGTAGCATTGTAGCAAAATAAATCAGAACAACTTAAATATAAGGGACTAATTAAATACTACATGATACATATCACGTGATTGAACATTGGGGATGAGTATTAGGTACTACTGTAGAAAGATACCAGTGATACATTGCTGAGTGGGAAAGCAATCTGCTGAACAAAGTGTGTGGCGTTTATTTTTATGAATGTGTGTGTTTGCAAATGCACAGAAAAAAAGGAAGACAAATCAAACTCTTCTCTCTGAGTGGGACTGGAGAGAGACTTGAGAACACTCTTCCTTTATACATCCTGTATTTTGTTGTTGTTGAAGATGAGCATGTAGTATTTCTGTGATGAAAAGAATCAATTACGAAAGAACAAAAGGGGGATCTAAGATGACACACCTCCCAGGGAGGGGTCCCACACCAGAGCTCTGCCTGCTGGTAATTGGAAACTTCAATCAGAAATTCTCTTTGGACATACTAGTCATTGCATTTTCTCTTCATTTTTAAAAAGAATAAAAAGGAGTTATTGTGAGGAGGGAGTCTTGGTGCCACCCGTCTACCTTTCTTTCCTAGAGGCAGAAGGAATCCATTCCACTCCCAGGATGGATCAGCTCTAGGAAACATTATGGATGCTTCTAATCTCTCTCCCTTCCTCACAGGGGGAGAAGTAACTTATTTCCCCATCAGAATGGGGGTAGATGACTTTGGCACGTGATTCTGTCCATTCCTCATCTTTCAGACCCCGCCCACTGCCAGCTGTGGGCGGCCTCCTCACCTGTACACGGCAGGTGGCCTGTCCCTTCTGGGGGGAAGCCCCAAAGTCCAGCTGCTCAACCTCAAACAGCTGGGGGGACCACAAAGTCTCTTTGACCTCAGGTACAAACTTTTTTCTCAAATCCAGGTTTACCAAATATAAAATGAATGTTTGATCTCTGTCTGACCCTCATGAATATTTTTTTCAGTTGGCTTTAAACTTGAAGAGAAAAGGGAATAATTATCACTTCCAAGTAACCCCCAAGAGAGAAAAGTTATTGAACTATGAATTTGCCCACAATTTCTAAAAATACGACCATGAAGCTTTTAAGGATGCTTCAAGGGATTTGCAGGTGACACTTAGCACTGATATATATTGCTTCTATATGAAAAACAGAAAAGAAATAAAGAGAGAAAAAACTACGTATTTATTTTTTTTCTTTCTTTTTTTTAAGTAAACAAGGCTTGGGTAGTTGAGCGATTAGGAAAGGCGAAACTTACAAAGCTGAACACGAGAATCTATTAATTTTTTTCTTTCCATCACATGAATAGCCATTCCTTTTCCATTGATTCTATTATAACAAATTCTCATTATTGCTCACATCTTGACCCAAGTCATCAGGTTGTTTCCTTATGGGGAAGGCAGCCTCTAAGATGGCCCCAATGATCCCCACCTCCTACCCTTCTTGCCATTGTGCAATTCATCCCCTTTGAATGTGCACTGGTCCTAGTGACTTGCTTCTAACAGAAGGCATCAAGACTGATGGGATGTCATGTCCAAGATTAGGTTATAAAAGACCGTGACGTCCATCTTATTGGCATGTTCTCTCTGACTCCTCTTTCTTGCTCACTCTGATGCAGTCAGCTGCCATGTTGTGAGAGGTAGCTTGGAGAGGCTCACGTGGCAAGGAACTGAGGATGACCTCCAAACAACAGCTAGCAGGGAAATGAAGTCCTCAATCATCCTCAATCCAACAGTTCATGAAGAACTGAATTCTGCAAATGTCCGTATGAGTGATCCGGGAAGTGAGTCCTCCCCAGTTGAGCCCTGAGGTAACTGTAGCCTTAGTCAATGGCTTGAATGCAGCCTGGGAGAGGTCCTGAGCCAAGGACCCAGCTAAGCCACACCTGCATTCATGACCCAAGAAACTGTGAAATAATAAATATGTGTAAGCCACTAAATCTGAGGGTTATTGTTACTCTGTAATAGATAACTAATACACCCTATTTTTTCATCTTTTATTATATTGCCTAACTCCTGGAATAAGAGTCATTAATTGGTGCTTATTAATGTGGTGTATAAAAAATTCTATTAAATAGCATTTGATATAATTTATCCATCTACTTGCCAAATAGTTGTTGAGTACCTACCAGATGCAAAGAGCCATGCTGGACACTAACACTACCAGCATTTTTCTTGTTTCATAAAATGTCTCTGCAGTCTTTCTTTTCTTCTCTTTTCCTCCCCCCCCCCCCTTTGCTTTATGTTTTAATTAAGTGTCAGGAAGCAGTAGTGAGCCCACAGTCGCAGCTAAATTACTGAACAAAATTAAGATGGATATAACACTGTTCAATGCCCATATGAATGCATGTAAAATCGACCGTTTTCTAAGGTAATTAAAAGCTGATTCCGTATCTGCTGAGCTACCCAGATGACAGCTGTCTCTGCAGTACCTGCTTTGACTGGCGAAGTCAGTGAGCACCATCTTCATTTTCTCTTCCGGGGCTTCCTCTGAAATCTTAATCAGTTCTTTCACTTCCTCTATACCCTCTTCCTGAAAACAAACCACAGAGGTGGGGGGATGAGAGGTGGGAATGAGACACCATAGCGGAGAAACTGATTCTAACACCCACAGAAATAGTATTGAGCTAATATTTTGTTTTGAAAATGAAGGAACATATCTCTTGTTTTTTCGTGTATGTCTGAACAGGGAAATGCTACTGCATTCTAACTTTGAACCTTCCTTTCGTAACTGGAACTGGTCCAGATTCAAGTCTTCTCCTGTGTTGCTCAAACTCATTGTTTCTGTCCCAGATTTATTCCTGAACTGAGTTCCATTTATTTAGAATCTACCTTGTGAGGGAAACCTAATGTCATGGGAAATACTTAACAAAGTAGAGTAAATTAGATAGAATTATCAAAAACTTCAAAAGCAATGTTCATGCCAGTTTGTTATATAGGAGTATAACCACACTGAATAATCCCCGAAACTAACAGGCTATCAATTCTTCTGATTATGGGGGGTTTTGTCAGGGGTGGGGTGTTGAGGGAAAAGAAACAGGTTGTATATGACAATGGCTATATGCTTGTGTACTTAATCATTGCACTTTTCCTTTGGATCCTAAACTCTAGGGTTCCATTTCATGGCTTGGAGGAAAATGGCACCCAAGGGGCAATGTACATGTCACCACTGCTTTGCTAGAATTTACAACAACGACAACCTCCATCACATACCTAGGGACATATATTTCCCTCTTTCCCCCTTCACTATAAGTACAGGCAACACTGTGGAGCGGTTAAAGGTTTAGGCTTGGGAGTCAGACTACCTGCGACATCCAAATCCAGGCTTTATCAGGTGACCTCACCCACTTCTGCCCAGTTTCCTCATCTGTAAAATCTGGTAATAATGGTACCCACCTATAGCCCCATAGGGAGATGTGAATTTCTTCAAACTGAGCTTGGTGCTTAGTAAACATTCAGTCAGGTTAGCCATGATATGCCATGCATGGCAGGGATCCTGGCTCTGAGAAATAATTAGAAACAAGTGCTCAAGGCTACTATGGCTTCTAGGGATAAAAAAAATTCTGATTTGTTTGGTCAAGCCTTTTAGAAATAAACTACTTTGTCTGAAGGAGAAGCAAGACCAGCCGTAAAAAGCGAGTCCATGGCCTCCACATGGCGTGACTCCAAACCCAGCCTCCATGACCGCTTTCAGACTCCGTCTCTATGATGCCTGCAATCCCCATGGCCAGAGGCAACACTGTGTTTTGTTTTGTTTTGTTTTAATTAATTAATTAATTTTATTTTTGGCTGCGTTGGGTCTTCGTTGCTGCATGCGGGTTTTCTCTAGTTGCGGCGAGCGGGTGCTCCTCTTTGTTGCGGTGCGCGGCCTTTTCATTGCAGTGGCCTCTCTTGTTTGCGTAGCACAGGCTCTAGGAGCACAGGCTTCAGTAGTTGTGGCGCCCGGGCTTAGTTGCCCCACGGCATGTGGGATCTTCCCAGACCAGGGCTCAAACCCATGCCCCCTGCATTGGCAGGCGGATTCTCAACCACTGTGCCACCAGGGAAGCCCCCAATACCATGTTTTACACAATTGGAGACAGAATTATAAAGCAAACGGGAGAGAGAAATGTGTGCTTTCCTTCGTGTGGGTTTTCATGGAATGAGAGGGATCAGATCAGGGTCCCCTGGTGAGGCACAGTGGGACAGAGAGGAGAGGACACTGCCCGTGACATGTGTGGGCTGGAAAGAGGAATGTGGAGTAAACGAAAAGGAATCACAAAGGGAGGGAGATACCAAAGGAGCAGTGCTCCCAGGTTTTCTTCCCCCCCCTCCACCCGGCAGGGGTTAGGTGGGACAGCCTAGTATTTTTCACATATAGGTGCTGTTTTAAATACTTTCACACATTCAATTCCTCAAATAATTCTGAAGGAAAAGAACAGGATATGATGGAAGAGGGTAAAAGGGAGCGAGTAAGGTTTCTCTGAGGAAGTGCTTAAATATGGGCCCTAGAGGTTGACTGGGCTTCACAGGAGAAACATGAAGGGGAAAAGCAGCCCCGACAGAGGGAACAGCATGGAGGTGGCTAGGAGGCACAGAGGAGCCTGGTTTCTTTGAGGCACTTGAAAGGAGACCAGCATGCTTGGAACACAGTACGGAGGAAGAGCACGTCAGATGTAGGACTGGAGAGGTGTCAGGGCTTGAACTTGGAGGAATTGTCCACCGTGTTAAGGACTTAGGATTTTATATTAGTTGAAGCTAAGATCTATCAATTTTGTGAGAAAACTGTCCATCCCTTGCCTTTGGAGATTGGGAAAGTGGCCTATCCCTAGGTCCTATAACAGTCAGAAGCAGAGCAGGGATTTGAATTTGGATAATTTGATTTAAAGTCAAGGGATTTTGCAAAATGTATTCTCGTTCCCCTGGGTCCGTGTGGTAGGAGCCAGGTGTCCTCCAAATGCAGCAGCCTCAATTCACTTGTATTTAAACTGAGGTCAAGACCCTCTACTGGGTGGAAAAAAATCCCCTTTGCCTCCAGCTTCCCAATATTCAAATCCATCACCTGTCAGAGTCACCTACCAGGAAGTCCGCCATTTTCTCCAGCATGTTGGACCAATGCAGCCTAAACGTCTGGTCTCCCCAAGAACTGATGAAATAGACACAGGGCTTCTTGGCCTCGAATGGCAAATAGTTGTAATTCCTGGGAAAACACATTAGGTCTGGAAGTTAGTTGGTGATCAGTGTTTTTCAGACAATCCCAGTAACCTGTTCATGTTTGTATGTTCTGGGTGGGTTGGGGGAAGGGTGATGACAAAATAGTCAAACTATTAATTCCATCCTTAGCCTTTACTTGGGGATCCATAGACAATAAGCAACGAACTGTTATATGGCTACAGTGGTGAGGTAATAACAGCTACCACCCTCTGACCCAGGGCAAAGTCTAGAAATGATCTCACAAGAGGGAAGGCAAGCCCTCTTCAAGGAGAAATTCTCTTTCCAATTGAGAGAAGAGAGAAAGGAGAAAAACTAACATCTTTTTCCTTTTAATGTCTATATGCTGGGCCCTGACTGTGTAAGGATCAACTGAGATAACAAATGTGAATGTATTTTATAAACTGAAATCGCTAGAGAAATCTAAGAGGGTAATAATATTAATGAAGATGAAGTCATGTGCCTCAAACTAAACGTCAGCATCCCATGGCTTGCCGTGCATTCATCCATCCATACAAAATGTATTGTTGCTGGGCATTGGTGCCGGTAATGCAGATGACCAGCTTGACTAAGAAGGGACGAGAGGGATGGCAAAGTAGCTGGAAGGGGAGCTGTGGAGCCAAAGAGAATGGCTGAGGGCGATGGTTGGATGTGCTTAAATGATGATAAGAAAAAAGTTAAGAGGATGAGACTGAAGACAGAAAACAAGGAACTAACCGGTAGAATTCAGTTCCCAAGGAGGAAAGGAATGGATGTGAAAGCAGGGAAGATGGGAGAGGTGTAGCAAAAAGCTGAAGTTCCCTGCCTAAAGACAGCGATATTCTTAACTAGGTTTGCCCCCAGCCGCCTGTAATTGTCCCACAAACACCCAGGTCTGTGTGAAGAGAAACGTGGAAGGCAGGCCAGTCTTGTCATGGAGGCAACAGACAAATTGTGTGTGTATGTGCATGTGTGTGTATGTTGTGTGTGCACATGCGTGCATGTGTGTGTGTGGTGGTCTATTAGAGAATCTTCCAGTTCAGCTGCTGCCACCCTGGCTTGCCACTATGTGGACAGAGCCTCGATATAGTGACAGGAATATTGCCCCAAAACACCAGCATGGCATTTTGGTCTCTTGGAGCCAGCCTGTCAGGACTAATGTGAGGGTTCCGTAGAGCTCTCATTTCCCCTCAAACCCTTCTCACACTACATCCCCTGACACCCCCTCCAACAGTCAACAACGGGCTAGTCTAACAAGGTAGGGATGTTTTCACTGCCAAAAGGATCCCGGCAAAAGGATGCAGAGTACCACTGAGAGTCTCATAAAAGCCTCCCAGAGCTGCAGATCCTGTTCATTGATGTCCTCAGTTTCGAGACTGGACAGAGAAGCCATTAAAGGGCTGGGAAGTTTGGGGTCCTTTTTGGTGTGTGTAAAGGAGGGTGGCTGCCAGGGACCCATAAAAAAGACCCCAAAGAAGGTGGTCTGTGGGAGGGGGAGGGTGGTCCATGGGAGACAGGATTTAGAAAATGTATGCCATGCTCAAAAATTATTATTTTCACTTACTGCTTCCTACTTTGTCCCAGACAATCGCTTTCTGTCCCTTAAGCTCGTTCTCGCCCTTTAGGATGTCGTCCTTGTGACCTTTCCCAACTCTCCACCTCCTCCACTGCCCCCCTCTACCCACATAGTACCCTGTGCCCAACCCCGTTATAGCATGTCCTTAACTCATTCAGAGACAGTTATGAGCATCTACTATGTGCCTGGCACGGAGATGAGCAGATCCAAAGGTGAACAAGACACAGTCCTTTGCCCTCAGGGTACTCACAGTCTAAGGGAGACAGACTAGTAAAAATATCTTAATGCAGTGTGATTAGTGTTTGATGGAGGTGAGTAGAGAAGGTAAGACTTGGGATTCAGGGAAGGGAACTTGAACTTAGTCTTGAAAGGTAACGGAAGCGAAGTTCTGAGC